ATATATATATATATATATATATATATATATATATATATAAATGTCTTTTTATCTTTTAACTTTACTATTGAGGTAACTGTGATTTTGCAAATAAAAACAATACTGGCTTAAGATACACTTGCAGACTGTCATACTCAATTAAGCAACACATTCATAATTTAGAGAGTAGTATAAATAAATTACTAATAAAATATTTGTTTCTCATTAATACCAAGTCATTTTACTTTGCTGTATTGGATAAACAATGCAAAATTAAAAATTATTAAATACACCTAATGTTATATTGTACTTTTTTTTAATTGTATAATATCCTTTTACAGCTCATCAATATTGCAGTTAACAATCATATTATAGCTGTATTACATAAATTCATTCAATTTAAAAAACTAAATACAAAAGCTGCAGTAGCATATTTAAACCGTGAATCAAGACCTCAAAAAGCTACTTGAAATGTTTGTGTGACAGACAAGTAACTCCAAACTCCCATTCTAGGGTATTAGAAGATTCCATAAGTGTTTTAAGGAAACAAAATCATGTTTCATTTTGCACATAATTTGAAGAGTTAAAAAAAAACTTAGTTGCTATAAAATATACTATTTCACAAGATAAAACTGTAAGTCACATAATTAAAAAAAATGAAAATACATATTTTCAGTTCAAAAACACAGAACAAATAAATTGTTCAAATTCTTCCACTTTTCAATTACAACAACTGTTCAGATCAAGCACAATATAAGCTGTTAGTGATCAATGAAAGAGTCTGTTTCCAATAATTTAGAAATTTTACTAAATAACAAAATCTCACCATTCCTCTTCTTTGTGGCTGATAAAAAACTCATTAATCTGTTGTCTCCTGAAGTCAAGTTTGTATTCATTATACTTCTTAATGGCTTCCTGATCACCAATGTTATCATCCTGAGCTGCTAAAAACTGCTTGAACGTCATCATAGGTGGCTGTGTTGCACCAGGTTCATCTCTAGTTAGCCAAAAAACCAAAAACACCAGTTTTATCACACCATATCAAAGAAAATTGTAAATTTCATAAAAACTTAGATGTGATCAAAGTTCATGGTATAGCTTACACACATCCAAATATGAGGTGGGTTATAGTGACTCTTTCCCAATATAGATTAAGTGTCAAGCACTTTTTTTATAAGGACTTACATAGCACACATTCACTGATCATGATGTTATGACACATTAAACACTTGTAAAAGAAAAGCTTAATTTTAAGAAAGGACTGTATGTATATATGTATAATTGTACAAGTTAAATGATAAAAAAAATAAAGAGTAAGCAGTGAACAAAAACAATGCTCAGACTCAACTCAAAAATTGTAGAAATTCCTCGAGTTTCTGTTATTTGCAAAAATCTACAATTATGCTTATAATTAAAAAAATATTAGTTAAAGCAACTTATCTTTCTCAAAATATTTAAGACTTTATATAGGGCACAGTCATCAATATTTTTAGGTAGCAGAAGGGATATGTTACAGTAAAAATGTTAAGTAATAAATTTAGAAGTATGACTTTAACTTAAATTTAGAAATTTCATATGTAGGTGTGCACTCAACACCTCAAAGGTGCTCCTGACCCAGAAATGGTTAGTTTTATACCGTGTTATATGTATGTTGTAGTTGTTGCAAGTGAGTTAGTTGTGAGTTAGCCCTTGGGTTTTTATACAAGCCAGGGAAATAATAAATTTGAAATTACCGCATGTGAAAAATAATAACTCTGTTTTGATAAACAGAAAGGAAAAAAATTTTTCTTTTACTGAAGTATATAAAAACAAATTGCATTAATTAATACACAACTACCAGTACAATAAATTGTTTTCATTAAAAACTTAATTTTAGTTTGAGTTAAAAACATATATAATTATATGTAAGACAAATTTCCAAGATAAAGCTATAAAGCTTTGATTTTATTTAAACAATTTATAAAAAGTTACAATAATATTTTTTCTATTTACTGTGCAACCATTTTTGGATAAGTTGAATTTCTGAAAACATACAAATAAATGCATTCAATATCAATAAGAAAGTAATAATATTAGGTGAGACATTATATGGAAAAAAAAAAGGGCCACCCTGACTTATAGCATGCAGGCTGACCCACCTCGGGGGTCCAGGGTGGCCACCGTACCCGTGTTGTCCATGCATCATTCCTATATCTTCTGGGGGCATTCCACCCCCCCAGCCCCCACCAGGGGGACCACCCATCATTCCTACACCTCCTGGATAACCCATTCCATATCCACCATAGCCTCGTGGGTCGTCCCTAGTAAAAGAAATACATGTTACACAGTTTTAATGCATATATATACAGAGGACATTATATTACTCAAGAGCTTAAAGCAACTAATATAAATCAAAGTGGACTACTAAAAATTTTTAAACATCAAAATTTCTTTATAAGCACCTTAAAACTATTTAAATACAAGAAATGTTTTTAGCTACTACCACTAAGCCATAAGCAGGGACCAATCATGACTCAAAATTTAGGGAGAAGTGCAAGATATGATATGACGTGAATAATACAACAATGTATCACCAAGTATAGCTTTTTTCTTGAATGAAAAATAGATTTAAAAGTAAATGGAAATTTTTTGTATTTTGATTTTTCTCTGTGTAACATGAAAAAATTAAACAACTAGTTAAACCAATATTTATTTTATTTTCCAAGTTTTATCTTGCGATCATCTATTTTATCTTCTTCTTAGAACCTGGTTTTGGGGAATGTCATCTAACCATGATTATAATGACATGTTTGAATACCTTTTCACTTTCAATTACCCTATGTTTTTACAAGTATCTGTTTATTGTTTTACCATTCTTCCATGATTGCCATCTATTTGATAAATAGGAATATAATGTGAGAAAAATCATGTAAACTATAGATGTTTTTTTTCTCCACATTCTTTCTAGTTTGTCCATTTCTGATTCAAAACAGAGACATTGGTTTCTAGTGCTCTGATGGCCTTTGCATCTAAACAGTAATTTTTATTTCATAAATACTTATTCAAAGAAATATGGAAGCTGTGAAATTTTCTCCTTTAATTACCAATATTGACAATCACAAACCACAAATCGATCATTCACACAAACATGTGTAGAGTTGTAACATTCTAAAAAAATGTTTTGAATTTTTGCATGTTTTACAGAGATTAGGCATCGATGCAATAAGGAAAATCAAACAAAATCTAAAATAGGACGATGAAACAAAAATATTAAATGTAGCTTGAACATCCCTTCATAATGGTTTTCATATTTGTAACCAGATCTACGGTACAGGGATGTTATAACCGAAGACTTCTCAACAAGCATCAGCTTCATTCAAATAAACTTTTCTACATCTGAGATGACTCCGTTCATTATGAATTACAGGGTGAAGTTTTGATGTGAATGAAAATAATTTCACTCAGTCACCCTCATCATAGTCCCTGCATAGGAACTTAAAAACAAATAACTTTCGTACAAAAAATATTAATATCGGCTCCAGATATGATGATTAAACAGTTCTCCATTTTTATAAATAGGGAGATATATTTTGCTCTTGCAAACTGAAGCTGTAACAGCATTTAGCTTTTACAAGAGCAGCAAGGTTAACAGGCACAAATTGGTGACTTTAACATTGTTTTTCGCCTAAAAACAAGTTGAGGAATTTATTTTAATATTAAAATAAACCACAATAATGGTTTTTATCCAAAACAAATACAAGGGAAACTTACACTTACTCATAATTTGTAAAGCCTAGATGCTACACCTAAGTTAAGAGGATAATATCAGTAAGACTAATGTAAAGCCTAGATGCTACACCTAAGTTAAGAGGATAATATCAGTAAGACTAATGTAAAGCCTAGATGCTACACCTAAGTTAAGAAGATAATATCAGTAAGACTAATGTAAAGCCTAGATACTACACCTAAGTTAAGAGGATAATATCAGTAAGACTAATGTAAAGCCTAAATACTACACCTAAGTTAAGAGGATAATATCAGTAAGACTAATGTAAAGCCTAGATACTACACCTGAGTTAAGAGGATAATATCAGTAAGACTAATGTAAACATTAGTTCTATCTTGGACAACTTAAGAGCAAAACATTTATCATGGAACTGTTATAGTTCACTTGTAGGCCTTGAAATTGACTTTTGAAAGTAATAGCAAATGGTTGCTAATTATTTTTTCCCACTACCAAACTTGGGACTGGTTCTGGCAACAACACTATTCTTCACTAAAATTAACCTTACCTGTGTCACAATTAATTATTTCATCTATTAAATGTTAATAACTCTTCTGCATCATGTTTTCTTTTCAAATATTTTCATTTACCAAAACTCATTTTAACTAAATATTACAGTTTTTATTTCAACTTTTTCACAAATATTAAAATATGCTCATGTATCTCGGACACAAGCACCTGGATTGACTTAAGTCTACAGTATCTCAAAGCTGATGACAATCATATATTAAAAAAAGGTATTTTTTTTAAAGTTACAGTTTAAACACTGAAAGCTGATGAAGCATATAGAGATCTATAGGCCTAACATATGCATATGTGTTAATC